TTCTAGGTTTTTTATTTTGTAATTTCGTCCAAATTTGAACTTAAAATGACTATAAAAATAAACTGTGCATATGTGTTTTTTAGATTTTCTTGTACCAGAGTTAACTACTTAGGTGGAATCTTGTTTTAATTTTTCAATCCTTATATATAAAATATGAACACTTTATAAATTTTTAACTACAAAATAATTATTTAATTTTATATTTGATAAATGTTGTCAATTTTAGATTCTGAGTGAAACGATGAATGTATTGATTTTACAATGATGTGTGTTTTTTTTTAATTTTAATTTTTTTTTGTGTCTGTCATCACGATTTATGACAGTAAAGGTGTTTTGATTTTCTTCAACAGTAGCTTTTCTGATAGGAAAGTGAATCTAGTTGGTACTTTGGGGGGGGTCAAAAGTAAAAATTTCCTAGTAGTTTTCACAAGCGCCGGGAAAAACAGTATAAAAATTAAGGAAAAACGGGAATTTTTAAGCGAAATCGGTTTTCCAAAAAATCGATTTTGGTTTTTGGTGTAACTTTAAAACAAATGAACGTATATAGATGAAATTTTTAGTGGTTGTTTATATTTGCAATTTATATACACGATAATAATTTCAAAATATTTTGATTTATTTTGAACTGTTTAGGGACATTTTCATTTTCCATTTGTTTTTAGTTTTTTTTCTAAAAATATTAATAAAATTTTATTTGTTGGTTGCGAAAGCTTGAAAATTTAATAGAAAGCTCCTAGTATATTGTGATATAAGATGAAAAATATTAAAAATCCTTAGTCACAATTTTTTTTATAAACATTTAAAGTTCAAAAATTGGTAAAATATGGAAAAATCACGAAAATTAGCAAATTATTTTGAGTTAAGAATTCGTAAAAATTTTTCTTTTTAAATCTAAGATTTGAAAATGTAATACAAGATTCCTTAAAAGATTATCTACCTTTATCAAAACAAAAATGTCTATAAGAAAGTCAAATTAAATTTTTATGAGTGTTTGAAATTCAAATTTTTACAACATTGGATATTCACTCGATTTCTCATGTAGCGATTTCCTTATTTTGCTGTAATTCAAAAACGAGTAACTGTATATACATGAAAATTTAACTAAATATTCATATTAGCATTTTCTATACACTGTAAAGTTTTGAAAATATTTTGACTTTTTTTGAGCTGTTTACGTACATTTTCAGTTTTCAATTTTTTTAGTTTTTTTTTCTATAAATATCAATAAAGTTTTATCTGTTGGGCCAAAAAGTGTTAAAATTTAATACAAGGCTCCTGATATATTGTTACAATATCAGTTGAAAAATATCAAAAATATATAGGCATAGTTTTTTATATTATTATTAAAAAACCTAGAATAACTATTTTAGTTATTTTGTTGTGATTGAATAATATTATTCGTGGGTACTTGAAACTTCTAAAGTGTACTATTATATATCTATGATAGTATCATGGTTTTTGTTGATGTATAGCGCGTTATAAGTACCTAATGGATATTGTGAAAAATGTCCCTAAACAGTTCAAAACAAATCAAAATGTTTTTAAAATATGATCATGTATAGAAAATTGTAATATAAACAACCAGTGAAATTTCCATGTGTCTACGGTCATTGGTTTTAAAGTTAAACAAAAAATTCCCGTTTTCCTTAATTTTTATTTTATTTTTCTCTGCGCTTTTGACAACTACTGGGAATTTTAAGTTTTGACCTCCCAAAAGTACCAACTAGATTCACTTTTCCATCGAACAAGCGACTGAAACTGAAAATCGAAGAATTATTTCAACTACTAATCGTGTACTCAGACACAAAAATAAAAAAAAAATAATAAGAAAAAAACACACATCATCGTAAAATCAATAAATTCATCGTTCCACACAGAATCTAAAAAATAAATTAACCCCCAATGTATATTAATATATAAATATTAGATACTCCTAAAAATCCGGGACGATCAACTATGACTTCAATACTATTTTAGGTACACTGTATAAACATATTTTTCAACTACAAAGATAAACTAATATAGTAATGGTTTTTTTTATCACCTACCTATACTTGTTCAAGTTAAAAGTGGCCAGTCGCTTGGACTGTTCGCGCATACATCTTGCTAAGTGGCTCAGTATTCATGTGCGAGTTTGGGCACTTTTAACCTGAACAGAGAATAGCTGTGTCCTCAATTTACCGCAGGTAGATTGACTACCTGATAAATATACAGTTCACTTAACCATAATGGAGTCTCACGGGCAACGCCAAGCTTGATGGCTAAAATCTAAAATGTAATATGATTTTGCTTCCATGTACACAGCGAATTTTACCCGAAAATATTTAATTAATCAAAATTTGAAAATAATTCAGTTTACATGTTACATAAAACTTTAAAATAAACTAAACTTCTCTGACACTCGTTATTAATCAAAGTAGATAAGTTTACATGTTATAATAATTCTATTGCGGTTTTTGTTTTTTTTCGTACACTTAATAAACTATTATACTTATTCAGTTCACATGTTATATATTATGAAAAATATCGGGCAAAACAAATATATACGCTTGTCGGAAAATAGGGAAAATGGTTATTAACATGTTATAATGATTGCTGTTATTAAAAGGCCTAAATACTGTTAGTCCGTATATGCAATAAGCCTGAAAAAGAGCAGGCCATTTGAAAAAATAATAAGTATAGCTCGCAACCTTTCTACCCCATTGCAAAGAGCCTAGTCTTTTCGCAAAAAGGACTAATTTTCCAAATGGCCCACGACATAAGTGGCGTATATAGGGTGTGGCACAGTGGGCTGCAGCCCCCCCACCGAAATTACAGTTTTTTTTAAATAGAACAACAATATATTTTATTAGGTACTATTATAAGTTATAATATTTCATAACCTGTTGAAAAATAAAAAATATGAATATATTTATAGAAACTGTTAAATATATAGTACACGGTAGCCTCTAAGTAATAGACCACTTGCTAGTTTCTGTCTACTATAGCCCACCCCAAAAATTATTTCTATATAGGTACGCCACTGCACAACAAATACATAATATATTATACATTTATACAGGCTAGTCCCGTTTAAGTTTGAATCAATAAACATATTAATTCATTTTCCATATTTACTCATATCCTACCTTATATTCACATTTTAAAGCAATTTTAAAGCAATTTTATGATTTTTTTTGAATTTTATGATTTTTAATTTGTGTTTTTTTTTCACGGAATTGACAGAGTGTTTTTTTGGGATATTAACATACTATAAACGTTTCAAGTATAAACAAAAAATATTTTTAAATTACAACAAAATAAGTAAACTCCTTCTTATTCTTCGATTGAATGAGTATATAATTTTATAAAAATTTGAACTTAAAATATTTATAAAAAAAAAATTGTGCTTATATATTTTTTAAAGTTTTTGGTTACAGTATGAATAACTTAGGTGGAAACTTGTTTTAAATTTTCAATTCTCAGCCATATGAATTGAACAATTTATAAATATCCAACTAAAAAATAATTTTGCAAATTTTCGAGATTTTGATGAAGTTTGTCATAATTTTAACTTTAAATGCTTTTATTGCCATAAAAGGTAATAAGTGATAACACACCCAAACAATTTTTTTTTTTTTTAAACACATTGTAAAATCAATACATTCATTGCTAAATTTAAAATCTAAAATAAATAAATATTATTAAAAATAACGTAGATAACAATGATATAAAATAAATAATAATATATTATAAAATTATGTTATTATTGTAGATAATGTAGTCATATAATAATATGTAGACACTTAAAGTTTTAATTAAATTGTATTATCTACACAAAAAGTAATAATGTGACTATTTAGTCAGCACTTACTAATTAATGTTGTCATTTCTAAAATTAAATAAAAAGAATACCTCTCAAGGTGAACTGAATAATATTTTTTTTTCACCATATAGAATTATGACTTCCCCGGTATTTATTACATAATACAATTATATAATTGAAATGTTTTTATGCAAAACATGCCATCTTCGTTTTCAATATTTCTATTTATTGATAGCATGCCTACCAACTTAAATACATGAATACGAATGCATTTAAATATAAATATATTCCAACTTACTGATTTATATATTATATCAAATATAATAATATTTAAAAGGAAACAGTAAGGCACCTACCCAACGGGCTATATTAAGGCCAGACAGCGTCTATAATTCCCACCTTGATAATCCCTAACTCCAAAATGACGCCATCGATCTGGTTTTGTCTATTTATCATAGTTACGATTAAGTAAACAATTAAGTGAACAACCTACTTTTCACACCTACTTCGAAAATGTAACGATATAGTATTCGCATCAACCATTAAAGTCGTTGCATTTATCTATGTATAGATTAAAATATAAAAACAAAACAAATTCAACAACATTTAAACGCTAACCGTAAAATAAATGTAACAGTTCGAGTTCAAACAAGTGTAACAACCGTTCTTCAAACATCTAGCGATGGATTTAAAAACAAATAAAATGTACTTAACTTTATTTGCAATATTTCATTACACGTTTGCTGGTTCGTGGATACCTGCGCCCGTTGAGAGTGCGAACATATTAGCTGTAGAGACGGTTGTGGCTAAAAGCCACTGGAACTTTATGAGCTAAATTCTCCGAGCGTTGGTGGACAACAGACCCAATGTCACAGTGTTCACGCCATTCACCGACGGAAACCGTGAAAACTATACAGAAGTGTCCACATCTACCGGATATATGACATTTCTAGAAATGGATATCAAAGATTTGATGGATACATTCGATGGCCCAATTAGAGTTATTAGTCATATGTCGGGGATCAGTAGAAGTATTTGCGACCTTGTTTATGAAAATAGTAAAATGAAAGAAGTGTTAGCTAATACACGTACCGATTTCGATATAGTTATAATTGAGTCAATATTCTCGGAATGTGTGTCTTATCTCGCCGTCAAGTTGAACTTGCCTCTAATATAAGTAACGGCGTTACCGACGATGAGTATAATGGAACGTATTAACACTGGAGACATGTCCAATCTCGCTGTAGTTGCCAATAACTTAGCAAGGTTTGGTGTTCCAAAAACATTCTTCCAAAGAGCAAGCAATCTTGCGATTTTTATTTCCTGCACAATCATAAGGATGCATAATGAACTGATTATGAAGTTCTCCGCCCCGAGAGAGTACGATTTACATGCACCCATCCCACCGTCTTTGGTATTTGTAAATAGACATTTCATAATCGAACCGGCAAGTCCAATCTCGTCAAATGTTGTTGAAATAGGTGGAATACATTTGAATTTGAAAGCAACCAAGAAGTTACCAAAAGTAAGTGCTGTAATTAAATGTGCAACTCATTGTGATTATTGGGCGAGTATATTACGAAATTAATCTGAATTTCCAAAAGAGTATACATTTATTTTATATTAATTGTCACTTTTATCTTTTTTTTTATTGAACAAAATTTAGTATACATATTTGAAATCTGTATATTATTCTAGTTTTACACAATGGGAACATTTTATGAGAGTTTATTGACGGTTACTGACACTTTTATCAGTTTTATCTTATGTTTATGAAATTTAAAAATTAATCAAAAATTTGAACTGAATCTGTTAATAATAAATAAACAATAATAATAATAATCAGTAAATTTATGACTTATGAGTTATGACTGCCATAAAATGTAGATATGTCACACATTACTCCAGCAAAATGCTATATGGGTATACCCACTTACATCGAACAATAATCTAGGTATTCAGTCTCATTATTTCAGTTTTTGAAAAAGGGGGCAAAGTTTTCGACTGACTTATAATAAAACTGAAAAAAAAACCGCTCGCTAACAATTACATTACGTTTCATTACAGTTGCATTTTTATCTCAATACAAATAGCATTCCTACATAATTGAATACTTACTAATTACTATCACAGTTATATGAGATAACCGTCGATAATGGTTACTGGTTATAGGAATAGGTATAAAAATTCATTATATATAATTCTAACAATGACTAAAAATTAATACATAAGATATGGGGAAACAATGGAAAACGTACTGCATTCTTGTCAAAATTTAGTTAGATATACATAGAAACAATAGAAACATATGTTTGAAATTGGAATATTCAGATTAGGTGAAAACGTGCTATTTCTCATTCAATAACCCCTTTTAAAAACGTCAATTGAACCAAAACGTACTAGTAAATACGTAGAAAATTTTGCATTGTCACCCCACATATTTAGATGGATACTTAAATATATTACCTATTAGCTACTATATGTATGCTCAATGACAAGAGGTGACCCTGCCAACCGTCACCCCCAAATTACGCCACTGTATGTACTGTAATGTTACTTAAATATTTTGAAAAAGTGTACATAAAAATAAATTGATCAAATAAATTAATAAAAATAGTTTGTTGAAACAGCTTATACATAACAATAATATTTATATATCAAGAATAACTAACTTTTAATTATGACATTTATTTATTTATAACTAGTTAAAGAAGAATTTTGAAATGTATGTTAATAAAAACTTCATTTTAGAATTACAGGCATTATAGGTAACAGTTATATAAATTATATTATTGTATTAAATGCAACAAATGTTATCCGAATACATCATTCAATATGCTATATTTTCTATTTACAGGATATATTAAACTTCATAGAACAATCACCTCATGGTGTTGTTTTTTTCACTTTAGTAGTTATTCTAGGTTTTTTATTATGTAATTTCGTCCAAATTTGAACTTTAAATACTAATAAAAAAAAAAAAATGTGACTAAGGATCTTTAATCATTTTCAAATGTCATTGTAACAATAAAGTAGGAACCTTGTATTAAATGTTCAAGTACTTTTACTTAACAAATAAAGTTTTATTGACATTCATAGAAAAAAAAACTAATACAATTGGAAACTGAAAATGTCCCTAAACAGTTCAAAACAAATCAAAATATTTTTAAAATATGATCATGTATAGAAAATTGTAATATAAACAACCAGTGAAATTTCCATGTGTCTACGGTCATTGGTTTTAAAGTTAAACAAAAAATTCCCGTTTTCCTTAATTTTCATTTTATTTTTCTCTGCGCTTTTGACAACTACTGGGAATTTTAAATTTTGACCTCCCAAAAGTACCAACTAGATTCACTTTTTCATCGAACAAACAACTGAAACTGAAAATAGAAGAATTATTTCAACCACTAATCGCGTACACAGACACAAAAATACTAGGTACTCATTATTAATTACTGATTTATATATTATATCAAATATAATAATATTTAAAAGGAAACAATATGGCACCTACCCAACGGGTTATATTAAGGCCAGACAGGGTCAAATCCCCACCTCGATAATCCCCCAACTCCAAAATGACGCCATCGATCTATATTGTCTATTTATCATAGTTACGAGTACAATAATTGTAAACAATTAAGTGAACAACCTACTTCCCACCTACTTCGAAAATGTAACGATATAGTATTCGCATCAACCATTAAAGTCGTTGCACTTATCTATGTAAAGATTAAAATGGCTACTTAATATAAAAAACAAAACAAATTCAACAACATTTAAACGCGAACCGTAAAATAAATGTAACAGTTCAAGTTCAAACAAATGTAACAAACGTTCTTCAAACATCTAGCGATGGATTTAAAAACAAATAAAATGTACTTAACTTTATTTTCAATATTTTTTTACACGTTTGCTGGTTCGTGGATACCTGCGACCGTTGAGAGTGCGAACATTTTAGCTGTAGAGACGGTTGGAGGTAGAAGCCACTGGAACTTTATGAGCTCAATTCTCCGGGCGTTGGTGGACAACGGACACAATGTCACAGTGTTCACGCCATTCACCGACGGAAACCGTGAAAACTATACAGAAGTGTCCACATCTACCGGAGATATGACATTTCTAGAAATGGATATCAAAGAGTTGATGGATACATTCGATGGCCCAATCAGAGTTATTAGTCAGATGTCAGGGATGAGTAGAACTATTTGCGACATAATTTATGAAAATAGTAAAATGAAAGAAGTGTTAGCTAATACACGTAACGATTTCGACATAGTTATAATTGAACCAATATCTTCGGAATGTGTGTCTTACCTCGCCGTCAAGTTGAACTTGCCTCTCATATACGTAAGGGCAGTACCGACTATGGGTATAATGGAACGTATATTCACGGGACACATATCTAATCCCGCTGTAGTTGCCTTTAACTTAGCAAGGTTTGGTGTTCCAAAAACGTTCTTCCAGAGAACAAGCAACCTTGCGTTTTATATTTCCTGCACAATCATAAGGATGTACAATGAATTGATTATGAAGTTAACCGCCCCGAGAGTCTACGATTTACATGCACCCGTCCCACCGTCTTTGGTATTTGTAAATAGACATTTCACAATCGAACCGGCAAGTCCAATCTCGTCAAATGTTGTTGAAATAGGTGGAATACATTTGAATTTGAAAGCAAAAAAGAAGTTACCAAAAGTAAGTGCTGTAATTTATTAAATGTGCAACATATTGTGATTTTTGGGCGAGTACATTACGAAAATTGATCTGAATTTCCAAAAGAGTATAAATTAATTTTATATAAATTCTCACTTTTATCTTTTTTTTTATTGAACAAAATTTAGTATACATATTTACAATCTGTATTTTCTAATCATATACAATGGGAACATTTTATGAGAGTTTATGAACGTTTACTGACACTTTTATCAGTTTTATCTTATGTTTACGAAATTTAAAAATTAATCAAAAATTTGAACCAAATCTGTTAATAATGAATAAATAATAATAATAATAATAATCAATAAACTTATGACATATGAGTTATGACTACCATAAAATGTAGGTATGTCACACATTACTCCAGCAAAATGCTATTTGGGTATACCCACTTACATCGAACAATAATCTAGGTATTCAGTCTCATTATTTCAGTTTTTGAGAAAGAGGGCAAAGTTTTCGACTGAGTTATAATAAAACTGAAAAAAAAAAAAGCGCTCGCTAACAATTACATTACATTGCATTACAGTTGCATTTTTATCTCAATACAAATAGCCTTCCTACATAATTGTATATTTACTAGTTACTATCACGGTTATAGGAGATAACCGTCGTTAGTGGATACTGGTTAAATGAATAGGCATAAAAATTAATTTTTTGAGAGATAACAATGACAAAAAATTAATACATAATATGTGAGTCAACAATGGAAAACGTACTGCATTTTTGTCAAAATTTAGTTATGTATACATAGAAACAATAGAAACATATGTTTGAAATTGGCATCTTCAGATTAGGTGAAAACGTGCTACCTATTTCTCATTCAATAACCGATTTTAAAAAAGCTAATTTAAGCAAAACGTACTATTTGCACCATATAATGTTTGTCAAAATAAACTATTTACTGTTCGAAGCTAAACGTACTACATTCTATAGATTCCTTAATAAAAAATATTGTACAAATATTGACATTAATTTGTTAAATGTAACTAGAACACATCAATTTTTTTAAACTTACTATATCCATCCATAATGCAAAATGTACTATTTCTCATGTAAACGATATAGAAAGGAAAATTTTTTATGAAAAAAGTACTATTTTTTAAAAGTACTTTGCCTTAAATTTTTTTTTATGGTGAAATGACTTACTATTAACTAGAAAATGACCTCTCCCGAAAAATATGTAAAACACAAATAGTACATTTTGCATTGTCACCCCACATATTTAGATGGATATTTAAACATATTACCTATTATTACTATATGTATACCTAATGACAAGGGGTGACAAATTCAAACCCTGACAACATTCACCCCCAAATTACGCCACTGTATGTACTGTAATGTTACTTAAGTATGTTGAAAATGTGTACATAAAAAAAAATTGATCAAATAAATTAATAAAAATAGTTTGTTGAAACAGCTTATACATAACAAGGATATTTATATTTCAAGAATAACTAACTTTTAATTATGAAATTTATTTATTTATAACTAGTTAAAGAAGAATTTTGAAATTTATGTTTATAAAAACTTAATTTTAGAATTACAGGCATTATAGGTAACAGTTATATAAATTATATTATTGTATTAAATTCAACAAATGTTATCCGAATACATCATTCAATATGCTATATTTTCTATTTACAGGATATATTAGACTTCATAGAACAATCACCTCATGGTGTTGTTTTTTTCACTTTAGGTTCAACTGTTAAAATGACTTCATTACCAGAACACATCAAAAAAGCATTGATTGATGCACTAGCACAAATCCCTCAAAGAGTGTTATGGAAATATGAGGATGAAATTGAGAATTTACCAAAAAATTTTATGATCAAAAAATGGCTACCTCAACATGAAATCCTATGTAGTTATTTTGTGATTAACATTTCCCGGATATAAATAGTATTATAACACTTAACCATTTTTTACTAGTGCACCCGAATGTGAAACTCTTCATCAGTCATGGAGGTATATCTGGGTTATATGAAGCTATAGACGCCGGTCTTCCCATCCTTGGATTTCCTTTATTTGGTGATCAGCCCAGAAATATTGACAATTTGGTCAATGCAGGAATTGCTATTTCTATGGATATTTTGTCAATAACAAAGGATGCGTTCTTAAAAAATGTCTTAGAACTGCTCAACAATGAAAAGTAAAGCCTCTCATACTTTGTAAATAGGTAATGAAAATATTGAATTATTGAAAATATTCATCTATACATTTTTTCAGATACATGGAAAATGCTAAAACTGCTTCGAAAATATTCAAAGATCGGCCTATGTCACCAGCAAGTCAAGTGGTGTACTGGACAGAGTATGTCCTACGTCATAAAGGAGCTCCCCACTTGACATCGCACGCAATGAACCTATCGTGGTATCAATACTATCTCTTGGATATCATTGCGTTAATACTAGTTTTTATAATTGTTGTGGTTTTTCTTTCGTACAGAGCTTTTATATCAATTTCTAAATCCTTTTCAAAATATTCTAGAAATACTAAATCAAAATCTGTATAATAATATAATCTAATTATATAAATGTAAAGTGAAAATCTCCCTAGAGGCAACCTACCTTAAGGAACTACTTATCAGATCTTGTTGATTTTTTTATCAAAAGAGTATATCACAGAGAAGGTTCTTATAAAAGAAATTTTAGGAGAATCTACCTGAAAAGTAAGAAATCTAGATGTCAAAAATTCAATAGTGGCTCCATCTGTCCACAAAAATACAATACATAAAGGATTTTTGTGATTCAACCACCAAACTATCAAATTCTATGGTTACCCTTAACGGCGGAATGTAACTTTATATGTAGTTAATAGTTATTTATTGATTGTCTGTATAATAATTACTAGCCAGTATTAAAAATATCAACATATTATAGTATTTAAATATCTAAATTCATTCTAGCCAATATTAAAAAGTAGGTACCAAAATATAAAGGTTATCAAATTATTTTTATAAATAGGTACTATGGAATATTATAGGTGTACCTACCTAGTTTATTGCTTTGTAGGTATATTAAAATTTAAAATACATTTAGAAACCTTGTCATTCATTTAACACGCTCACAGAGTGCAGAGCTTTCCTAATTTATTCTTGTGTATCTACTATTATATTTTTATACTATTATTATAAAGATACTGTCTTGACGATTGAAAAACATTTCTCGTAAGGTCAATAATTGAATAGTTACTATATGTATAGCAGCGTGATTTAACATGGAATTTCCTATTGTATATGGGATGTTGACAAATTAACTATTTATTTTAACTGTAAAAATGTCATATTATATAGTACAGCGGAAAAACTTCACAAAACAAATACATACACATATATAATATTATGTATTATAGGTAGGTACCGCTGGACAATTTCCAGACACGTTTCTGGATAACTAACTCGTCGAGCCACCGTGTTCTATACAAGTTTTAGATAAGGCGATAAATATAATATGTCGTAATTCATTTAGAAAATTTGTCTTTTTGCGAAAAGACTAGGCTCTTTGCAATGGGGTAGTCCGTTCTCTAACTACTTATTATTTTTTCAAATGCCCTGCTGTTTTTCAGGCTTATTGCATACGGACTAATAGCATTTAGACTTCAAAGAACTAAACTCATTATAATATGATAATAACCATATTACGTATTTTCCAACAATCGCAACTATTTGTGTTACTCAGTGTTTTGCTTAAGTGACATGTAGCATTGTAAACTGAAGAAGTATAATGGGTTAATAAATAATTTAATAACTGTACAAAAAAAAAAAAAAAAATTGTAATTGTAATATTATAACATTTTATAAGTGAGTTAACATGTTTATATGAGTTTAGTTTATTTTAAATTTTTATGTTAATTTTACATGTAAACTGAATTATCTTTATATACAAAACAGTAACCTGGCCGACTGATCTATCAATGCACAGCTCAAACCATTTTACGGATCGTGCTGAAATTTGGCAAACAGAGAGCAATTATGACGAAGGCGTCCACTAAGACAGAGTTTTTTAAAATTCAACCAATAAAGGGGAAAATAAGGGGTTGTACGAACTAAGAATACAACATTGGTGTCTATACTATCAAATAATATTTAATTTAAATATACATTATTGGTTTTAAAATACAAAACGTAGGTACGTATGCTTGAAATAGTGGTTCATTTAATGATCTAGATGTGCAACAAGAAAGGATTTTCCGATATTCATATTTTAAAGAGGAGGTCAAACAGAGATCTTAAGATACATCGTGGAAATTGAAACTTTTTTTTTTTTTATTAATGGTTGCAGGTTTAATATACGAGTTATTTCACAAAGCTAGATACAATTACGCCAATTTGTCAGTAAAAATGAAACGAAAAAAAAAAAAGTTAGCAAGTGGATGTCGCTCTTTTGTACAGTAGGTTACAAGTGGGTCACTGTATAATGGATGATATTAAATTTAAATTTAATGATATAATATCATTGTATAAGAAAAACGATTCTGAGCGGAGACGGTATGTCAATCTAGGTATAAGACATATTATATACTTATCTAATATGGTATTAAAAAAAAATTGACCTATAATAAATTCCAAATTAATCATATCACAATATCCATTAGGTACTTATAATGCTTTATACATCCACAAAAAACCGTGATATATATAATAGTACACTTTAGAAGTTTCAAGTACCCACGAATAATATTATACAATCACAACAAAATAACTAAAATATTTATTCTAGGTTTTTTATTATGTAATTTCGTCCAAATTTGAACTTAAATGACTATAAAAATAAACTGTGCATATGTATTTTTTAGATTTTCTCGTAACAAAGTTAACTACTTAGGTGGAATCTTGTTTTAAATTTTCAACCCTTAGATATAAAAGTTGAACACTTTATAAATTTTTAACTACAAAATAATTATTTAATTTTATATTTGATAAATTTTGTCAATTTTTGAACTTTAAATACTTATAAAAAAAAAACTGTGATTAAGTATTTTCAATAATTTTCAAATGTCATTGTAACAATAAAGTAGGAACCTTGTATCAAATGTTCAAGTAATTTTACTTAACAAATAAAGTTTTAGTGACATTCATAGAAAAAAAAAACTAATACAATTGGAAACTGAGAATGTCCCTAAACAGTTCAAAACAAATCGAAATATTTTTAAAATATGATCATGTATAGAAAATTGTAATATAAACAACCAGTGAAATTTTCATGTGTCTACGGTCATTTATTTCAAAGTTACACCAAAAATTTCCGTTTTCCTTAATTTTTATTTTATTTTTCCCGGCGCTTTTGACAACTACTGGGAATTTTAAGTTTTGACTTCCCAAAAGTACCAACTAGATTCACTTTTCCATCGAACAAGCGACTGAAACTGAAAATCCAAGAATTATTTCAACTACTAATCGTGTACTCAGACACAAAAATAAAAAAAAAATAATAATAAAAAAGCACACATCATCGTAAAATCAAAACATTCGTCGTTCCACACAGAATCTAAAAAATAAATTAACCCCTAATGCAAATATTTTCAAAATATATGTATAGTAAATTGTAATATATGAAATTTTCATGTGTTTACGGTCATTTGTTTTAAAGTTACACCAAAAATTCCCGTTTACCTTAATTTTTATTTTGTTTTTCCCGGCGCTTTTGACAACGTACAATTTATAAATTTCCCTATTATACTTATTAAGTTCACATGATATATATTATGCAAAATATCGTGCAAAACAAATAGATATGCTTGTCGGAAAATAAGGAAAATGGTTATAAACATGTTATAATTATTGCTGTTGTTAAAAGGCCTAAATACTGTTAGTCCTTATATGCAATAAGCCTGAAAAAGAGCAGGCCATTTGAAAAAATAATAAGTATAGCTCGCAACCTTTCTACCTCATTGGAAAGAGCCTAGTCTTTTCGCAAAAAGGACTAATTTTCCAAACGACCCACGACATAAGTGGCGTATATAGGGGGTGGGCACAATGGACTGCAGCCCCCCCCCCGAAATTACAGTTTTTTTTAAATAGAACAACAATATATTTTATTAGGTACTATTATAAGTTATAATATTTCATATACATATACATATTTCATATATTGAAAAATACATAATATATCAACATTTATACAGGCTAGTCTTGTTTAAGTTTGAATCAATAAACATATTGAATTCATTTTACATATTTACTCATGTTCTACCTTATATTCACAATTTAAAGCAATTTGTTTTATGATTTTTAATTTGCGATTTTTTTACACTGAATTGACAGAGTGTTTTGTTGGGATATTAACATACTATAAACGTTTCAAGTATCCGCAAAAAAATTAAAATTAAATTACAATTAAATTACAACAAATTAATTAAACTCCTTCTTATTCATCGTTTGAATGGGTATATAATTTTGTCTAAATTTGAACTTAAAATATCTATAATAAAAAATTGTGCTTATATATATTTTTTAAAGTTTTTGGTTACAGTATTCAATAACTTAGGTGGAATCTTGTTTGAAATGTTCAATCCTCTGCCATATGAATTGAACATTTTATAAATTTGCAAATTTTCGAATTTTGATGAAGTTTGTCTAAATTTGAACTTTAATTGCTCTTATCGCCATAAAAATAGATGACACACAAATAATATTTTTTTTAAAAAAACACAATTAAAAAGTCAATAAATTCAATTATTCATTAAGAATCTAAAATAAATATAACCTAAATAATAATGATAAACAATAAATAATAATATATTACATAATTATGTTATTATTGTAGATAACGTGGTCATATAAAATAATATGTAATAATATGTAGATACTTAAAGTTATAATTAAATTGTATTATCTATACAAAAAGTAATAATGTGACTATTTATTCAGCACTTACTAATTAATGTTGTCATTTCTAAAATTAAATAAAAAGAATACCTCTCAAGGTGAACTGAATAATATTTTTTTTTCACCATATAGAATTATGACTTCCCCGGTATTTATTACATAATACAATTATATAATTGAAATGTTTTTATGCAAAACATGCCATCTTCGTTTTCAATATTTCTATTTAATCAATTTATCATGCATCGATTCTGTGGTAGGTAAATTAAAATAACTTAAAATAAATAAGTCTAAATATTTTTAAAATTTAATAAAAGTAATGTGTGTAAAATAATAATATATAAGTAATGGACAGAAGTGTCTCATATCTCAACGATTAATGTTTTCAATTAAAAAAAATAATAACTATATTTGTCACAGGCAAATTCATATTTTCTGTTTCCAATTTTATCAAAGTTAGATTCTTAAATAATAAACAAATTAATTTGACAACTAAATTTTGAATCTTCGTTAAGGAAAACTGTACAACTATTTCAAAATATTTTTAAAAGTAGTGGGAATTTTTACTTTTTTACCATTCATCTATAAAAAGTGTCTTCAAAAAACGATTGTAAAAACAATACACTATTGATCAGTGCAGAATTTAAAACAACTAACTTAGTAGTAAAAAGTGTTTAGAAAGATTATAATATTAATTCATTTTGCTGTATAACAATATGTTCCTATTCCTTCACAAAACACACACAAGCACGCGCATACCTACCAACTTCCATACATGTATACGAACACGTTTAAATATAAATATATTCCTACTAGGTACTCATTATTAATTACTGATTTATATATTATATCAAGTATAATAATATTTAAAAGGAAACAGTAAGGCACCTACCCAACGGGCTATATTAAGGCCAGACAGGGTCAAATTCCCACATTGAAAATCCCCCAACTCCAAAATGACGGCATCGATCTGGTTTTGTCTATTTATCATAGTTACGAGTACAATAATTGTAAACAATTAAGTGAACAACCTACTTCCCACCTACTTCGAAAATGTAACGATATAGTATTCGAATCAACCATTAAAGTCGTTGCACTTATCTATGTAAAGATTAAAATGGCTACTTAATATAAAAAACAAAACAAATTCAACAACATTTAAACGCGAACCGTAAAATAAATGTAACAGTTCAAGTTCAAACAAGTGTAACAAACGTTCTTCAAACATCTAGCGATGGATATAAAAACAGATAAAATGTACTTAACTTTATTTTCAATATTTTTTTACACGTTTGCTGGTTCGTGGATAATTGCGCCCGTTGAGAGTGCGAACATTTTAGCTGTAAACACTGTTGCAGCTAAAAGCCACTGGAACTTTATGAGCTCAATTCTCCGGGCGTTGGTGGAAAAAGGACACAATGTCACAGTGTTCACGCCATTCACCGACGGAAACCGTGAAAACTATACAGAAGTGTCCACTTTTAATGAAGATATGACATTTCTAGGAATGGATATCAAAGATTTGATGGATACATTCGATGGCCCAATCAGACTTATTAGTCAGATGACATTGATGAGTAGAACTATTTGCGACGACATTTATGAAAATAGTAAAATGAAAGAAGTGTTAGCTAATACACGTACCGATTTCGACATAGTTATAATTGAACCAATATTCTCGGAATGTGTGTCTTACCTCGCCGTCAAGTTGAACTTGCCTCTCATATACGTAACAGCGGTACCGACAACGGGTATAATGGAACGTATATACACTGGAGACATGTCCAATCCCGCAGTAGTTTCCAATAACTTAGCAAAGTTTGGTGTTCCAAAAACATTCTTCCAGAGAACAAGCAATCTTGCGATTTATATTTCCTGCACAATCATAAGGATGTATAATGAACTGATTATGAAGTTCACCGCCCCGAGAGAGTACGATTTACATGCATCCATCCCACCGTCTTTGGTATTTGTAAATAGACATTTCATAATCGAACCGGCAAGTCCAATCTCGTCAAATTTTGTTGAAATAGGTGGAATACATTTGAATTTGAAAGCAACCAAGAAGTTACCAAAAGTAAGTGCTGTAATTAAATGTGCAAAATTTTGTGATTATTGGGCGAGTATATTACGAAAATTGATCTGAATTTCCATAAGAGTATAAATTAATTTTATATAAATTGTCACTTTTATCTTTTTTTTTATTGAAAAAAATATAGTATACATATTTACAATCTGTATTTTCTAATTATTTACAATGGGAACATTTTATGAGAGTTTATTGACGTTTACTGACACTTTTATCAGTTTTATCTTATGTTTACGAAATTTAAAAATTAATCAAAAATTTGAAACTGACCTCTCCCGAAAAATATGTAAATTACAAATAGTACATTTTGCATTTTCACCCCACATATTTAGATGGATACTTAAACATATTATCTATTAGCTACTATATGTATACCCAATGACAAGGGGTGACAAATTCAAACCCTGACAACCTTCACCCCCAAATTACGCCACTGTATGTACTGTAATGTTACTTAAATATGTTGAAAATGTGTACATAAAAAAAAATTGATCAAATAAATTGATAAAAATAGTTTGTTGAAACAGCTTATGCATAACAATAATATTTATATATCAAGAACTAACTAACTAACTTTTAATTATGAAATGTCTTTATTTATAACTAGTTAAAGAAGAATAATTTTGAAATTTATGTTTATAAAAACTTAATTTTAGAATTACAGGCATTATAGGTAACAGTTATATAAATTATATTATTGTTTTAAATTCAACAAATGTTATCCGAATACATCATTCAATATGCTATATTTTCTATTTACAGGATATATTAGACTTCATAGAACAATCACCTCATGGTGTTGTTTTTTTCACTTTAGGTTCAACTGTTAAAATGACTTCATTACCAGAACACATCAAAAAAGCATTGATTGATGCACTAGCACAAATCCCTCAAAGAGTGTTATGGAAATATGAGGATGAAATTGAGAATTTACCAAAAAATATTATGATCAAAAAATGGCTACCTCAACATGAAATCCTTTGTAATTATTTTGTGATTAACATTTCCTGGATATAAATAGTATTATAACACTTAACCATTTTTTACTAGTGCACCCGAATGTGAAACTCTTCATCAGTCACGGAGGTATATCCGGGTTATATGAAGCTATAGACGCCGGTCTTCCAATTCTTGGATTTCCTTTATTTGGTGATCAGCCCAGAAATATAGACAACTTGGTCAATGCAGGAATTGCTATTTCTATGGATCTTTTGTCAATAACAAAGGATGCGTTCTTAAAAAATGTCTTAGAACTGCTCAACAATAAAAAGTAAAGCGTCACATACTTTGTAAATAGGTAATGAAAATATTGAATTATTGAAAATATTCATCTATACATTTTTCCAGGTATATGGAAAATGCTAAAACTGCTTCGAAAATATTCAAAGATCGGCCTATGTCACCAGCAAGTCAAGTGGTGTACTGGACAGAGTATGTCCTACATCATAAAGGAGCTCCCCACTTGAGATCGAACGCAATGAATCTATCGTGGTATCAATATTATCTCTTGGATATCATTGGTTTAATATTAGTTTTTATTTTTGTCGTGGTGTTTGTTTCCTACAGAGCTTTTATATCAATTTCTAAATACTTTACAAAATATTCTAGAAATACTAAATCGAAAACTGAATAATTTATAATCTAACTTTATAAATGTGAAATTAAAATCTCCCTACAGGCTAAACACTGGAACTACTTATCAGATCTTCTTGATTTTTTTTTATATCGTAAGAGTATATCACCGAGAAGGTTCTTATAAAAGAAATTTTAGGAGAATCTACCTGAAAAGTAAGAAATCTGGATGTCAAAAATTCAATAGTGGCGCCATCTGTCCAAAAAAAAAAATATAGTTTAGTCTTGCAGATTAAAATAATAATAGTGTATTATATTATATTGATTTCTATTGGTTAATCAGTCATGTTTGTTGATTGTATTATTATTTTTTGTCAATAAATATATATAATATATATATTATATTATAGATTAATGTTTGTGGGTAGATTAGACCTCTGGGAAGAAGATGGGTTAAATTAAAAAGGGTTAAATTTGGTTTGAACACCATACACCAAATATTAAATAAAGGATTGAAAAAAATTTGAGTCATATAGAGTGGGTACATTTAACGGGCAACAAAGTTCACGGGATCAACTAGTCTATTTTTATACATAAATGTTTATTACCACTCACTCATTCACCCACTCATCGCTACATCTCAAAAACTACAAAACGTATGAAATTGAAATTTGGAAATTTGGAATATTGGTTCTTCTTATCATCTTGATGTGCGCTAGAAAGGATTTTCCGAAATTTGTCGTTTATAGTGTTACCAAAAGAATGATTTGTAAATAATATATATATTTGATCATAAAATGGCGAATCGTCTCAGTGCAGTGGATGGAAATTACAAACGTGTGATTATTTGAATTTATCAACTTTCTGTTTGGTAATGAAAATGTGTGTACTACTATAATTATAACAAATAACAATATTGTGTTTATACTTAGAACTAATACACTCACATAATATTTAAATATTACGATTTTTTGAGGTATGTTCAGGGAACATCAAACGTAGTTTTTTATACGTCATGAAGTACATGTTCATACAGATATATATGTTGACAAAATTAAAAAATATTGTCAGTAATATTTAACAATACATAAAGGATTTTTGTGATTCAACCACCATACTATCAAAGTCCATGGTTACCCTTAACGGCGGGGTGTAACTTTATATGTAGTTAATAGTTATTTATTGATTGTCTGTATAATAGTTACTAGCCAGTATTAAAAATATCAAAATATTAGTATTTAAATATATAAATTCATACTAGCCAATATTAAAAAGTGGGTACCAAAATATAAAGGTTATCAAATTATTTTTATATATACTATGGAATATTATAGGTATTTATTGTATTATTTTTTTTTTTTGTACCTACCTAGTTTAATCTACTATTATATTTTTATACTATTATTATATAGATACTGTCTTGACGATTGAAAAACATTTCTCGCAAGTTCAATAATTGAATAGTTACTATGTATAGCAGCGAGATTTTACATGGAATTTCCTATTGTATATGGGATATTGGCAAATTAACTATTTATTTTAACTGTAAAAATGTCATATTATTATATAGTACAGCGGAAAAACTTCATGAAAACAAATACAATACATAGGTACACATATACGGATGTATCTTATTATGTCATTGTACGCTTTGTTTTTTTAACTATTATGGATCGATGATATAGAATTTCGCTATAACGAAAAAAGATGTGTTCCTTTATTTTTAACAGACAATGTTTTTATAACAATTTCAAAATTTTTAAACACGCATGTGTACCAATAAAAAAATCAACTTTATTTTCTTAATAGGTAACTACTATATTTTTTAATAGATGAAGGTAACGCTTTTTTTTTCTGAAAATTTTAAAAGTCACTTCATCAATTTTTGTTCTCTAGTTTTTTAACTATGGTCCTCTAAAGTTTAGTAAAATATTCATTAATACTTTTAATTCAAATAATTTATATAGGTGTAATTTACAAGAGCTAAATATTTTTTTTTATAACTAACTTTTATAACTTGAAATTTGAACCATAAGTTCCCTATATTGGTAGGTATCGCATGCAAAGTATGAATTTAGCAGTTGAATTTCTTTATGAATTATTTAATAATCGTGATTTAAAATAAACTATTTGCAAGATATTTAGATAAATAATCAATCTCAATTAAGGTTTGTACCTTACTTATTCATACTTTTAATCTAAGTTAATTACAGATTTTCAATATTATTATAGCAAGAATCAAATACCATTAGGTATTATACCTTAGTCCTTAGCTACCTAATAAAGAATCCAAATTAACGCTATTGTAAGAAAAGTATGACATCAATTTATGATAGGAAAGTACGAAATAAAATGTAAATGTCCAAAACTAAAGAATAAGAAGGGTTATGAATTTCAACTCCTAAATTTATACTTTGCATGCGATACCTAATAATATAGGGAACCTATATGGTTCAAATTTCAAGTTTATCCTACTATGAGAAGAGCACCACAAAACATTGCAATTTTTTCATTACATAATTTTTTAACCCCCATACATACCTACGACATTAATGTGAACAATCGAATACCATTCCCCAATTTATCATTATTACTTTAGCCTCCTAATAAAGAATCCAAAGGTATGACATTGTAAGAAAAGTAAGTGTGAAGTAATTAATTACGATTACCTATAATTAGTGTTTGAAGTATGAAATATTTCATTTTTTAATATTTCACTACTTCACTACATGATTTGAAATTCTCAAACACTACCTATAATAACAAATAAAAATAATAATACTGATTTTGATGATTGTATGTTAAAATAAAAATGATAAACTATGTTTGCCAACAATTAAGTTTATTTTTTATTTTTATTTTAGGAAAGTGCCATTAGATTACCGATTAAATTACTTAAGTGTATAAAAAGCTAGTTATAAGAAAAAAATATTTAGCTCTTGTAAATTAAACCTATACCAGTTATTTCAATTAATAGTATTAATGCATATTTTACTAAACTTTAGAGGACCATAGTCAATAAAATAGACAACCAGAATTGATGATTTGGCTATCAAAATTTTCAGAAAAAAAAGCTAAAGCTCCATTAAAAAGCTCCATTATTGAATCCATTAAAATTTATAGTAGTCACCGTTTGAAAAAATAAAGTTGATTTTGCTATTGGTACATCTGAGTGCTTAAAAATTTTGAAATTGTTATACAAAAATTGTCTTTTTTCGTTTTAACGAAATTATTCTATGTCATCGATCCATAATCGTTAAAAAAAACTCTCGTACAATGACATAAGATACACTCTGTTTAATATTATATATTATATTATGTAGGTAGATCCAGCTGGACAATGGCCTGACACGTTTCAGGATAACCAACTCGTCGAGCCACCTGTATGACGCACACACTGTGACCGACAACTGACAAGACTTAGATAAGACGATAAATATACATAATATACTATACAGGGCAGTCCACTTTAAGTTTGAATTAATGACTTTAATGTATGTATTTTACGTATATGAGCATTGGACCATTTACTTATAATCTACCTTATATTCACATTTTAAAGCAATTATTTGTATGATATTTTTATTTGGGTATTTTTACACGGAATTGACAGTGTTGTGTGGGGTTACTTATATGCTTATAAAAGTTTCGAGTACCCACAAATAATATTTTTAAATTACAACAAAATAACTAAATTTCTTCTTATTCGGCGTTTGAATAGTTATATAATTTTGTCTAAATTTGAACTTAAAATATTTATAAAAAAAAAATTGTGCTTATATATTTTTTAAAGTTTTTGGTTACAGTATTAATAACTTAGGTGGAAACTTGTTTTAAATTTTCAATTCTCAGCCATATGAATTGAACAATTTATAAATTTGCAAATTTTCGAGATTTTGATGAAGTTTGTCTAAATTTTAACTTTAATTGCTTTTATTGCCATAAAAATCGATGACACACAAATAATATTTTTTTTTAAAAAAAACACATAATTGATAAGTCAACAAATTAAGTTATTATTGTAGATACTGTAGTAATGTAATATGTAGGTACTTGAATTTTTCATTAAATATTATTATCTACACTAAATGGTAGTAATATTGTGAATATTTAATCAACACTTTGTAATTAATGTTGTCATTTCTAAAATTAAAAAACAAGAAATACATTAATAATGTTCAATAAAATCGAGTTATGCATCGATTCTGTGGTAGGTACCTAAAAATAACTTAAACTAAATAAGTCTAAATATTTTAAAATTTAGTAAAAGTAGTGCGTATAAAATAATAATATACAACTAAATAAGTAATGGATAGAAGTCTCATATCAGTCATATCAATACGACTAATTTTTTCAATTAAAAAATAATAATAACTATAATCTTCACCGAAAAATTAATTATTTTCTGTATCCAATTTTATCAAGGTTAGATTTTTATATAATAAGCAAATTAATGTGCCACACTAAACTTTTAAGTTTTGTCAAGGAAAAGTGTACAACTATTTCTAAATATTTTTAAAAGTACTGGGAATTTTTACTTTTTTACTATTCTTCTATAAAAATTGTCTTCAAAAAAACGATTGTAAAACCAATACAAATAAAAGTAAAAAAAAATACACCATTGATCAGTTCAGTATTCAAAACAACTAGTTATTGCAATAGTTAACAGTGTTTAAATGGGAATGATGGGATTATAATATTAATTACTTTTGCTGTATAACAATATGTTCATATTCCTTCACAAAACACACGCAAACATATACATACCAACTTCCATGCATGTCCTCAAATGCGTCTAAATATATCTAAATTAGAAGTACTAATTATTAATGACTGACTTATATATATCAAATATATAATAATTTTAAAAGGAAAAAATAAGGTACCTACCCAACGGGCTATATTAAGGCCAAGCAGGGTCAAATTCCCACCTTGACAATACCACTCCACCGATGTAGTTTTGACGCTTACGATGATTGAAAACAATTTATTGATAACCTATTTTACACCTACTTCAAAATTGATCGATTAAGTATTCGCATCACCATTAGAGTCGTTTACTTATCTATATACAGATTACAATGTTACTTCATATAAAACAAACAAATTCAACAACATTATTTAAACGCTAACCGTCCAATGAATGTAACAGTTCGAGTTGAAACGCGTGTAACAAACGTTATTAAAACATCTAGCGATGGATATTAAAACAAATAAAATGTACTTAACTTTATTTTCAATATTATTTTACTCGTTTGCTGGTTCGTGGATACCTGCGCCCGTTGAGGGTGCGAACATTTTAGCCGTGGAGGACTGTTGGAGGTAAAAGCCACTGGAACTTTATGGAGCTCAATTCTCCGGGCGTTGGTGGCCACAACGGACACATTCACATGTTTCACGCCGTTCGCCGACGGAAACCGTGAAAACTATACAGAAGTGCTCACATCTACGGAGGATACGTCATTTCTAGAAATGGATATCAAAGTTTTGATGAATGCATTCGATAGCCCACTTAAAGTTGTTACTCTGATGTCAGGATTAGAACTGTTGCGACGACATTTATGAAATAGTAAAAATGAAAGAACTCTTAGCTATGACACCTACCGATTTCGACCTAGTTATAATTGAACCATTATTCTCGGAATGTGTGTCTTACCTCGCCGCCAAGTTGAACGTGCCACTCATATACGTACTACCAGTACCGACGATGGGTATAATGGAACGTATATTCACGGGACACATATCCAATCCTGCTGTAGTTGCCTTTAACTTAGCAAGGTTTGGTGTTCCAAAAACATTCTTCCAGAGAACAAGCAATCTTGCGATTTATATTTCCTGCACAATCATAAGGATGTATAATGAACTGATTATGAAGTTCACCGCCCCGAGAGAGTACGATTTACATACACCCGTCCCACCATCTTTGGTATTTGTAAATAGACATTTCACAATCGAACCTGCAAGTCCAATCTCGTCAAATGTTGTTGAAATAGGTGGAATACATTTGAATTTGAAAGCGACCAAGAAGCTACCAAAAGTAAGTGCTGTAATTAAATGTGATCATATTTATGATTTTTGGTCGAGTATATTTCTAAAATTGATCAAAAGAGAATAAAATAGTTTTATATAAATTTACACTTTAATCTTTTTTTTTTATTAAACAAACTATAGTATACATATTTACAATCTGTATTTACTAGTTATATAGGTACAATGGGTGCATTTCATGTGAGTTTATCGATGGTAAGGGGCTCTTTTATAGTTTTATCAGTTTTATCTTATATTTACAAAATTTGAAAATTGATCAAAAATATTTATTAAAGAGTCTGTTAAAAGGATAAACAACAATAATAATAATCAGTAAACTTATGACTTATGAGTTATGATTGCCATAAAATATAGTTACTTAACAAATTACACCAGCAAATGCTACCCGTTTATACCTACCATAAATCCGGTTTTGACCGGCCTGCAATAAAACTGAAAAAAAAAATCTCTCTAACAATTACATAACATTGCATTTCAATATTGTATTACGCCACTATAGGTACTATAATGTTACTTATGTTAAAAATGAGGACATAAAAAAAAATTATCAAATAAATTTAGAAAATGTATTAGTTGAAATAGCTTATACTTAAACAATAATATTTATATGCTATGAAAAAAAAATTTTTAATTATTTAATTTGTTTATTTATAACTAGTTAAAAAGAATTTATAGATTTAGGTTTATTAAAACATAATTTTAGAATTACATAAATAAATTAATATATTTATTTAAATTATCTCTTTTGGTAGGTATCTATGGATAATTATAGGTAACAACTATATAAATTATATTATTATATTAAATTCAACAAAAATGTTATCCGAATAAATCATTCAATATGCTTTATTTTCTATTTACAGGATATATTAAACTTCATCGAACAATCGCCTCATGGTGTTGTTTATTTCACTTTAGGATCAACTGTTAAAATGACTTCATTACCAGAACACATCAAAAACGCAATTATTGATGCACTCGGACAAATCCCTCAAAGAGTGTTATGGAAATATGAAGATAAAATTGAGAATTTACCCAAAAATGTTATGATCAAAAAATGGCTACCTCAACATGAAATCCTATGTAATTTTTTTGTGACTAACATATTTTAATTAGATATAAATTGTGTTATAACACTTAACCCTTTTTTAATAGTGCACCCGAATGTGAAACTCTTCATCAGTCACGGAGGTATATCCGGACTATATGAAGCTATAGACGGTGGTGTCCCCATTCTTGGATTTCCTTTATTTGGTGATCAGCAAAGAAATATTGACAATTTAGTCAATGCAGAAATTGCTATATCTATGGATATTTTGTCAATAACAAAGGATGCGTTCTTAAAAAATGTCTTAGAACTGCTCAAAAATAAAAAGTAAAGCATGTCATACTTTGTAAATAGTTAATGAAAATATTGAATTATTGAAAATATTACTCTATATATTTTTCCAGGTATATGGAAAATGCTAAAGATGCTTCGAAAATATTCAAAGATCGGCCTATGTCACCAGCAAGTCTAGTGGTGTACTGGACAGAGTATGTCCTACATCATAAAGGAGCTCCCACTTGAGATCTCACGCAATGAACCTATCGTGGTATCAATACTATCTCTTGGATATCATTGCTTTAATATTAGTTTTTATTATTTTTGTGGTTTTTGTGTCCTACAGAACTTTTAGATTAATTTCTAAATACTTTTCAAAATATTCTAGAAATACTAAATCGAAATCCGAATAATATTATTTACAATCTCTTTATATATATATTTAAATTCCTAATTTCACTCATTCATTCGCTCACTAAAACTGAGATACACTCAAACCCAGATAGGTACACCTTAATATCGTATATACTATATAGGATTTTACACAAAAAATAAATTGCAAAAGTGCGAAGCGGAATATTTAGCTAGTATGAATATAATAATATGAGGTATTTTTATGCCTACAGCTACCTACTATACCTATTATATTAAATAGTGAAACTGGTGCTAAGGACATTTTATTTTTCTTAAAACTAAAATCACAATGTTTTAATTGTTAACAGTTCTCTCGTTGATTTGTATACGTTCAAATGACTAATAATTCATGTTTAAATATTATGTGTTTAATAGTTTACTATTGAACCGTTATAGTTGACGGTTGTTAAGAGATATTTTGTTTTTAAATATATTATATTTTAACAAATAGAGCATTTTATTTTGTCCTATTCGTCCTATTCTGAATATTTTAAGTTTGGTTTATGATGATCACATATCACATACTTATTTGTTTAAGATTTAGGGGGCCTGCACGCGACCTGTTTTTTTGCTCAAAAACATGCCTTACAGGAAAAACTCTCACGCCTCGTAGATTGGTCCGATTTCCGTAATTTTTTTTTGTTAGATAGAAGAAGACTTCTTACAGGGCGCATTGGACTTGGATTTTCAATATTATTTTTCTAAATCTTATGTTACAAGTTTGAATTTAATCAATTTTTACAACTTTTTAGTTTTTGTATTATTTTTTGTTTTTAGCGACGTAATCAAAAATCGAAGTCCAATGCGCCCTGTAAAAAATATTCCTCTATCTAACAAAAAAAAAATTACGGAAATCGGACCAATCTACGAGGTGTGAGAGTTTTTCCTGTAAACTGTGTTTTGACCGATATAATACACCCTATCAACCCCCCCTAAATAGGTTTTGGGTAGTAGATTAGTGGAAAAGTCTTATAATTGAGGTGGCAACTAAAATATAAAATTTAATTTTCAAATTTTATAGAATTGCGGAAAATTTGAAAAATCGCGAGCAGGCCCCTTAGGTATATCGTTTTTTTTTTATGAATAACTACTTGTACATTTTACATTTTCAATTAAATGTAATGATTTACATTTGATGAAAACAATTAATATGTTTGATAATTTTTTGTCATTTTCTTTACCATTTACGTCGATAGTCTTTGAAATAATATTCGACTCACGTTGAACGGACCAGCCGGTATAATATACAATACATTTATATATATATCGTCCGCCGCGTGTGTCGACCTCGCCCGCCCCACCGGCGATAAAAAGCTTTCGCGCCCAACCGGACCGACTCCGAGACAATTATTATTATTAATAACCACCCAACCCGATACATCGTCATTTATTGTGTAATAATTATTATATTATATATAGACGTAAAATGACTGTTTTACACGAGACGTTTGCGCCGACCCGACGGTCCGTGAACACTGGTGCCGTATTATACTATACCGTCGTCGAACCCCTCCCGAGCCCGCACCGACGCCAAAGTTTTCGAGTTAATACGCCGTATATTGTTTGTCGAATCGCCGTAAAATATTTCACTCGGAGGGTCGTCGACGACGTATTATTGTATTATATGCGGCACCGCTCTTTTGTCCGCGAACCTTTCCTCCTCGCCGTTCGTCGTAATCGAATCACGGGCAAATCGCTCAGTAAATCAACCGCCGCCGCCGCCGACGACGGGATATGAAATGTATAAGCAGCACATCGATCGCCTCTGCACGACGATCGAATCGTTATTATATTATCACCATTAAAATAGTATAATATAATTATTATATCGCAGAATATTATTATATTGTACAATAACATCATGACACACGTCGTAGAAATATTATAGGTATGCGATCGAGGTATGTGGTACACTGGTACCTGGCTGGTATTATAGGTATAAATATATTAAAACGCTCTAATTATTTTGACTTTATTTTAAGCTGCAATGCAAAGTCGCAGAATTATTGAACTCACATGGATTTCTGAAATCATTTCGTTTAGACTTTGGAATACCGAATAGGTAATAATTATGATTTCGTGTAATCCAGCAGCTGATGGTAGGTATAGTGAAATTCAAATGAGTCCTTGACCCTTGCATTACAGATCCATCGGAGGAGATACATTTTTATATTACCTATACGACTATATAACAGACGCTGATTACCAAGACCAAGTATCTACCTATTAAAATGACACCCACCACAAATTTTTTGGTGGTTCAGTGAACCGAAAAGTGCACGATCAAGCAGCCTCTGTGGACAACGGTCTTATACAAGTATATTACTGTAGTATAATTTAGTCGATTGAAATTAGTCGAAGTTGCCTTTTTTGGCAACGTTTTATTACTTCTGTACGTCTGCGTGTAGTTATATTGTCATAGTCTCTGTAGTTGTGTCGTCAGAGCTGGAGATCATAATATTAATTTATTTCAGATGTCTTTGAAAGAACTATAAGTTCTGGATTTTGGATTTTTAGAGGTCTTTGGTCATATTATAAAATACAATGTAGAAGAATATGAAAAACGTGTAATGGCACACCCGACCGACGACACCCGACTATGTCATCACAACAATGTAACCGTCTGAATCGTGCCGCTTGTTCGACCAAAAAAAACAAAAGGATTTAACATAATAAAATAATACAATTTTCGAGAAAAATTATGCCAACGTAAGCGCAGCAGAACGGCGTCGAGGTTGTCGAGAGCAAATCGTTTTTATAATCCAGTCAAAGAAATAATATTTTGCTTTTTTTTTTGTTCACTCGAAATGGTCGAGAAAAATACTTATAACAACGTTTTTATCTTCTCTCGCCTCATAAAAAAAAAAAAACAAACATAATATGCATTTGAATTCGCCGTTCTCGCACTATTTCTCGAGTTTTATTTGAAATTTTAGGAATACCATCACCATCACTTGTGCGCTGCAGGTATACAGTTCAAAGGATATTTCTCTCCCTTTTCGTACGAGTACAATCCACATTGGTAAAATTTTTTTTTTTTTTAAATCGCATAATATAGTCTTTTTGTTCTTATTTTATAATATGTAATGTATTTTATTTAAAGATAAAAGTGTGTAACAACACATGAAATGTATAAATGGGTTTTATATCACTCGCGTACATAAAAGCGTCGAATCGTTGGAAATACTTTTAGTGATTTATATTATAAAATACGCGTAAAATGTTATTCAGACGTAATGTTCTATAGCAAGAACATCATTTAATAATACCACTCGAGTAAAATTATTTGTTGTCGCTGTCGTCGTAAATAATAAATTACTCTACAGTGCTGCAAATTGATTAATTTTAGATGCAATTCCGATATATTAGCATTGTGCATTATTCGAAAATCTCTATATTCGTCAAAATCGTCAATTTGTATCAATAGCTGCAACTTGATGCAGACGATGGTTTTTTCAAGTAAAAAAACAAAACAATTAAAAATAGGAAAATACGAAATATACTATTTTTGATACCACTGACTGTGAAACATTTAATAATTTATACTTAAGGATTATATACTCAAGTATGTCTTAGATAATATTATTATACTTCTACTGAAGGACTGTCTATTTATATTTGAAACAAGCTCATCATCAGTTCGAAGACAGATGATAAATATTCATCATACATATTATATAATTTATGTAATTAATTCAAATTCCATAGTTTTTTACTTGTAGATTTTTAATGAATATTATCATCCAACAATTTTTGCGTTGAATTACCAAACCAACTTTTATTTACACATGACAAGCTATGTTTCTTACTTGTACCTATATATTATTTTGAATACGATTTTCTATAATAGCAATAATATAATATATTATGAGAGACGAATATCTTATGATCTATTACGTATACTACCCTATTGTTCGATCATAAATTTCGATGGTCAGTTTTTGGTTTAAGTTTCATTTTGATTATATATAATATAATCTAAATAATATTTTTGATACAATTGACTGTAAAACATTTAATAGATATATACACTCGAGAATTTGACACTCACATAATATTAAATAATATAATTATAAGTATACTTTTACTGTGAGAAAATACATTTATTTTTGAGACACTCATTATTTCAAAGACAGACGATAAATATTCATCATACATATTTTATGTTATTAATTTAAATTATATACTATAGTTTTGTATATATTTTTCTACAATTATCATCCCACCATTTTTGTATTAAATTACCAAACTTACTTTTTATTTCCATACGACACGCTATGTTTCTATTACTTATACACATTTTTAAGAATACGATTTTCTATATAATGAGTAATGAGTGTCTTATCTATTGTGTAGATCACACTGTAGATCCATTATATTTTCTATAGTAAGTTTTTCGTTTATGGTTCATCCTGATATTAACATTGCAATCATTAAAACGGTGATATTAGTGTCATTATACTATCGTCGTGAAGATATTGGTTATTATAGTTATTACTTATTACTTATTACTAATAAGTAATAACTATAATAAACAATAAGTTACCTACCTAATAAGTTATTAGTATAGTTATAACTATTTGGCTAAGACGCCAAGAATTGTATGTTATTAACATAAAATTATGAAAATATACAATCTAACATAAAAACATGTCAAGAGATATAGCTTTTGTAAATTAAAAAAAATTAATTCTATAACCTTACTTACAAATAGTTTTTTCGTTATATAAACTATATAACTGATTATAAAATTGTATATTTCGACTGCGTAATTTAGTGCAATAATATATTTTTAACTATCTTTATTTCTATGACTAAATAATGGATTTAATGATAAGTGCATTTTTTTTTATTATTATTGACATAGGTATAGGTACTTGCTTATAATGGGTGTTGACAGATGCTCAAAACTTGTTTATTCTTTATTATTAAACAATGTCAAGAATAATTTAAAAAAAGGTGGTGATGGCAGACACAAAACAAACACACATCAGTGTAAAATCAATAAGTATCTATAAAATACATATACAATGAGACGCATTAGACATACATAAATATAAGCATGCGGCTAAAATAAATATGATATCATAATAACATATTATATTATATTCGAGTATAATATTAGGTATGTGTAACATTTTAAATTCGCTAAAATTAAATATTAAATATTAAATTTTCTCGAACATAATAAGTTCAGACGTGTGTATAATAATATCTGATATCATATTATATTTTTAAAAATGTACTTTGCATGCATAGGGGGGGGAGGGGCTAAGCCCCCCTCAAAAAAAAAAATATATTTATTTGTTTATATTACTAAATAAAAAAAATTAGAATTTTTTTTTTATTTTATGTTAGTAACACAATATTATAGCGCGCACCTAATATACGATCTATGAGCGCACAGCAGTTGTTTGTGATAAAATATTGTCCCGACTATATTATTTTATATTATAGCTTCTATTCTCGGACCTCGGTCGTTATGCGAGTGCCCGCATTTGATAAGGATAATAACTTTAATAAAGCGCATTTTTTATAGATGGTGAAGTGTGGAAAAAAAGTTTCTGAGAGGCAGTGATTGAAATATATATGGGAGGGGCCGAAGCCCCCCCTCAATTTGTTAACCCTAATGCACCTATGTTAGCATGTCTATTTTTCAGGATGTCTTATAGTTGTGCATATGGGAAATACAAGTGTCTATACTCTATAATAGTTCCGAATAGAAGATACATTAAAAAAAAACAGCACTCTTAAAGTTTAAACCTATATTACGATAATATTTGACCAGACGAAATATGATCAACCACGTTTTATCCACATATTGAAGGACAGATTAAAACGAGAAAAACTTTGTCGTGGGCGCGGGGCGTGGGGCGAATATCCGTCACTTTAAAGAAAGTATAATACTCGGGTGATTTCGGGTAATCAACGTGTTTTATTTTTATGTAATGTTGATATACAAGGTATGGGGATAATGGTGGTTTACATCCCCGAGACCGTATGGTATTGTTCACGGGGTCAAAACCATCTTGGCAAAGAGGGGAATAAATTGGTTTATTTACAGTTCAGGAAGGTGGATACGTCCGGCCCGCTCAAATAAATGGCGTTGGGTCCCGTACGGGTAGCGTGGTCTATGCAAGCACTTGGGGGGACTTGTTTGTTTTTATGAGTCCTAAAACACGGGTTCGATAGTAATCCGGTCCGGCGGTGGTCTTCGGAATCCAGTGGAACTGGATTGCTCGGCGTGGCTGGTTCAACCATGTGATCATCGACTCCTCCGCACTGTATGTGGGTAGCGGCGTAGGACAGTTGGGTATTCGTATTCGTATACTCCGGTCATCGTAGCTGATTCTAAGGTGGCGTCTTGGGGCTAGCTGGTAATTCAGTCTTGGGTAGTATTCCGAATAAAGTATTCCGAATACAGTATTCGGAATACTATTTAGGTATTCAGAATACTTTTGAAAATACTTTTCCTAAAAGTATTTTACGCAGTATTCAGAATACCTTCGAAAGTATTCCAAATACTATATTCGGAATACTTTAATAGTATAACAATATATTTTTTTAGGATTTTGGTTATACAATTTAAAACGAAAAATAGAAAACTATAATTTTTGTTGGAAATTTCAAATTTGTAGGTAATTCAGTAATTGATATTTGATAACATCTATCAATATTTAATATCATACATTCATACAATAATAAAATTATGACCGGTATTGGTTTATATCATGTTTAGTGTTTACTGATTAGTGGTTACCGATCAGCGATACCGATTACAATAACAAGAATTCTATAAATAAATTTGTATATTAAAGACTAATGGGTATTGCCGTATTGCTTATCTTTTATATTTTATCTACTGTGACTGAACGTCTGTCTCTGACGTCTCTGTAGTCTGCACATCGTTGTACCCATACTAATTATGGTCTATGAAAAGCCAATAAGCCATTTAGAAATGCAGAATGAAGTGCGACAGTGACACATCACACATTATATTGACATAGTATATTATTAATTTATTGTTATATACTATTTTACGTATTTTTGTTTTCAACGTGTTAAATCATTAATTTGCGAGTTCACAATTATGGCAGATAAAACTTTAAATAGTGTAAATAGTGACTACCGTCTTCCTTGGATTAAATATGAAAATATATTTAAAATTGTAAAATTAAAAGAAGATTTTGAATCATACCAAAAATATTTGGTTCGTTGTAAATATTGTGTATCAACTAAATTATTAACAGCAGACACAAGGACATGTTCAAATCTGTTAAAACATTTAGAAGTAAGTACTTATTCCAACGATTAATACTTTGTATCTTTGTCAAACAAAAATATGATGATTTACTATCGGAAAAAAAATTAATTTTTCGCGATTTTCTGGTTATTTGTCTTAAGAATAGTGTAGAAAAACGTTTTAATAAACAGCTCAGTGATCCATTTTTATTGTCTGCTACACTTTCTCATCCATACTTCAAAACGGCTTGGCTTAATAATAGCGATAAAAAAGATACAGCTTTATCATTTTTTAAGCACTCATGTTTAGAAATGTTTGAGCAACAAAATTTATTGGAATGTGAATCATCAGACAGTGACGATACAAATAATTTTTTTGATTGGTCAAAAAATAAATCGAAATTAACTCTACCTTTGGAACAGGAAATATCAAATTTTTTTACCAAAAGTCCAACTAAAAACTTAGATTCTTTAATTGAAACTCCAACAATAAGAAAAGTATTTGTAAAATTCAACACACCACTGCCAAGCAGTGCAGCTGTAGAACGTGTCTTTAGTGTTGGTAGTGCCGTATTGACTAAAAAAAGAGGAAGAATGACAGATGAAAACTTCGAAAAAACATTAATGCTAAAATGTAACAAACATTTAATTTGAAAATATTTTAATATTTTGTTTAAATAAATACTTTTTACCTAATTTAGTATGTATTGTTTTCAACTGTGCCTGTCCTGATGAAAGATTTTATGCTTTGATAATATAATTAATATTATTCATAGAAGATAATAATATTGCAGATAATTATTAATAAATATTATAATATAATATTGTAAATCATAAATAGTCATAGTTAGGTATATAATAATTTTAATTTACAGACAATATATTATATATTTAAGCATTGGCTATAGTTCCCCCAAAGCAGTTATTATTTTATTAAAATCTAAAAAAAAATATTTTAAAAGTATTTGGAATATTTTTATAGTATTCTAAATACTTTATTCAGAATACTATTTTTATGATGTATTCGAATACATATTCGGAATACTATTTTTCCTGAGTATTCGAGTATTTATTCCAAATACTTTTAAAAAGTATTTTACCCAAGACTGGCTGGTATCATCGGTCGGCTCCTGCAATTGTAGTGCTCCGGAGCGGCGATTGGTGGTCTTCTCCGTTTTCAAGTCACAGCAGCTATGAATTTAGAATAGTCTTGATGTCTTGAAGGTTGGAGAATTATCGATCGTGATATGTCGAATGCACTCGTATATATACGCATCGACCGACCCTAGCATTGTTATGTTTGGTGGGCGTATCAGTGTTCGGCGAGTGAACGTGACATCGATCTACGGGTATCCATGATGTAATTTTCACTTATCAAATATTGCGTAAAATACTCGTGCACAATATGATTATTTGTGTAAGTTATGTGCAATTCATTGACTGGTCTTTGCTTGCCATACGAGCAATATTTGTTGGACATGAACATGGCCTTTGTAAGTGTTGTGTGTTTTATACCGTATCAACTTGTACTTAGAACTTAAAACTTTCTATATTTACAATACTATATACCTATAGGCTATAGATTACGCTTGCGAATCTACGATGTATAACATCGGTATAGTTTTACGCATGCGTCACGTGTCTATTTTGTGTACGCATTATTATACATATTATTATTATTGTTTAAGTTCGCCTTTTCGTACATAATATGTATCTTTTATAGCAGGCGCCTATATGTGTGTACAGAAACCGCGAAAGCACGACGATAACTACACAACGATCTTTCCACGCGCGGAAACAATAAAGACGAACAAAAGAGAATTTTATTTCTTTTATTCTTCCCTCTCTTTTTATGATTTGCAGTACTGAGCTTATAGATTTTTCTCTCGTTTTTTTTCTGCTTTCAACTTCCTCTTTTTCGTTTTTATTTTTTTTCATTTTACGAGCCTCGCATACGGGCTCGCACACGGAATCGCCGGCACTCTACGCGTATAATAATAATAATACGCGCGCGTTACACGGCGAGTTGCAGCAAGAGCGACTCGACGATTGTCGGGAGGTTGCGGCGGTGGGACGAGACCGTCTGGCGGGGGTGGGTCGGGCCGGGAAATAATGCCTCGTTTAATCGGCGCTTAATATCGAAGGGATGACTAAAAGCCCCCTCGCGGCCTCACCGGCGGGGTATGCGCTCGCGTAATTGCATCGGGGGCCCCGCGACAGACGTCGGAATGACGGGACCAACGTGGCGGAGGGCGATGCGGAATAGACGACGACGACGACGACAATTGAATTTGAATACGCCTTTGAACCGACGACGGTACTCAGATGGCCCAAAACCGATTGTGTGTAAAACACGTAGGTATATAGACTTATCCTATATACAGGGTGACTCACCGTTCATGCTCGCCCCGTTTCTTTTTATTTAATAACGCAGTTAGTCAAATTCTGATTTTTGGACATTTTTTATCAATCTAAATACAACTCGGCTGTATAGAACATTATAGTTATACTCTCTACGAGTTAAGAAACATAATCGCTTGTGTGCAGGGGTGTGGCAATACTACACGGCAGGTATACAAATAATTTACTGGGTGGGGGTGACAAACGGGTGTTGCACGACTGCGGCGGCAGTACCAAAACTAGGGGCCAGTGGTGTATTTACGGGGGGGAGGGAGGATCAAGGGGATCAAAGCTGTATATTATAATATGCAAGATTTTTCGGAGTCCTAACTTGAGGCCTCTAGTTTTTAACGAGGAGCTGCTGGATAAAATCATATCCCTCCCCATAACAAAAACCTAAATACGCCACGTTTCTTAACTTGAACAGAGTATAGTATCTACTTAAATCGCATTACAGTATACTATATAAACAAAATGTTGTATTAAAATTAAAAATTATCCTAGGATTATATTTTGATAACATTTTTAAAAAATTTAGAATTTTTTTATTCTGATCAGGGTTGGACCAAATGTAGCGTCAAGGCTGTCTGTCATGTTGTGATTTAGTCGATCCTGTTCATTCCGTTAGTAAGTTATTTACTAGGTAAGTCACTTGCGTAGTTGTGTATCCAATTCCCGATCAATTAATATTTAATAATTGATTCTTCTTTACTTTTAAGAGATGGGTTTTCCCATCCAAATGTTGGTCCCTTAATTTGATTTAGTATGGTGTTCTGATTATTCTATCTTATTATTATTTAGCGTACTACCTAGATTTTCCATCCATATACACTACGACTCACAATATACGGTTTTTATGATGCAGATTAATACTAGTAAATCGTGAAATATACCGTAATCCGTGTGGTAAACCGATATTTAGGTACAAACACTGGAATATTTATTAATACTCACGTTAATATATTTTCCTATGTATATTATAATGATTCTTTTTTCAGATTTGTAACAGCACTTTTCCCGTATTGCTATTGATGCAGAAAATAATATATTATAAAACAGTGCTAATCATGTATAACCATAATAATTATATTTTCGTTTTAATGACCTTTTAATATTCAAATTATAGACTGATTTTAATGATAACTGTTTTATAAACTCCCAATGCCCAATGACATTATAATAATATAATGTAGTTGTAATAGGTAGGTGGTGTGTTATTTTATTGATTAAAACCGTTTCAATTTTCGATTTGTATAGAGATAAAGAATAATATTATATAACTACCTATCAGGTTATTTAGGGTTTTTTAATTATTACTTACTTAATCATTTTTTTCATTTTTCAATCAATCATAATAATTATAATATATATTTAACGAACTGTGGGAAATATACTTGTTCTATTTACACGAATATCAAATATAAATTAATATATTTACCATACAATGCGTGGGGGGTTGAAATTAATCAATACTGATATACACTTTTAAGGGTATCCTATTATGGATTGCGCGGATTAATAGCAAATATTAGGTTATTGTATCAAGTAAATCAATTAATATGTAACAGATTCATTCCTTTCTATAGAAACCTACCGAAATTAAAAAAATCTATGTGGGAGGTGTAGAATTATTTAACGCCATTTCGATGGAAAATGTCGTGGTAGTGCTTTTAAATGTATATAATTTTTGGAAACCATTTGGCGAAAAAATCAAATACCAAATGAATTATATATTATAACATTGTTCAGTTCCATCTGTAATTTCACGTTGGTGGATATAAGTATAGGTATAATGTTATTATTATGTGAAGGGCTCTTGACCAACGATTTCGCAACACGCGAACCCGCATGCATTGTTATGCGTACCGCGTTTTTGGTTACCTTATAGTAAAAATCTATAGCGCCCCAATATAATACAGCGGGGTTTGTGATTTGAAAAAAAAACAACAAAAAGAAAGGCCATGACTCGATATGCTTTACAAAACGAACAAACACCGAGTTTGTATTCAGAACCGTACACATAACACATAATTCACAAGTATAATGGTGTGTGCGAAATGGTGTTGAAATGTTAAACGTTGTTATTGTTATACATATTATACGCCACGTATTGTATTTACCGGTTAAAAAATCGTACGCAGCCACTGAAACAATACCTGTGCGAGCGGTATCCGATAGTAACAGAGTTCGTTAAATATTATAAATAATTAATTACAATAGTATGTAATTTATTGTTGTAATTCAAATATATTTACGTAACATAATACGTCACAGTACGTCGGTGTACTGTAGTGGTAAAACACAAAGTTTCCCTGATTGAGAACACTCAATTTTCATATATATATTCTTTTTTTCGAACGTTGCCGCGCGTTTAATAATAATATTATCGAACGACTGAGCACGATATTTGGTGTTTTATGGTGGTCCAGGTAATTCTTACTTTTAAATGCATATTATAAAGAGGTTGTGTTGCCGAGGAATCGTTTGTTGGTCTAAAATCATTTTTAATTCATAAAGAAGTCGAAGATACAAATTAATGACTTTAGGTAGAACGAGGTGAAAAAAAAGTTACCGAATAAATAAAAAGACAAATTAGTACTTAGGTATCTTTTAAATTAGATTAATATTATTTTAAATTTAGATTTTTTTAAATAGGAAATACATATTTCAAAGTACATCAACGAATGAAATTGTGAATATAAGTTAAGATTTTATAAATTGGACACTTACAAATACCCTTTTTCCAAAGGTTTAAATTTGAAAAAAAAAAGTTTCTTATAAATTTAAATGGGGCTTACGACCTGTGTATTTCCATATACTAGAAAGTTGAAAGAAAACACTATCAAAAGATGAATACTGCGAAATGTAAAACTGAATTTTCATTTATAATGTAGATGGTTACTTTTTTTGTGAATATCAAAACACCATCGAACAATATTGCTAGGTATTTAGGTGAAGTATACAGTATTATAGTATATAGGTACCCATCCACGGCTAATATATTTTAGTGTAATCCAAACTTAACCTGCCTGACGTATTTACTACTGAGCAGTAATTCCTCGTCGCTATGAGTAACATAATCTAACTTTAAACGTATTATTATAATATCGTAATCGTCTATTGGCTTTACTTGACTACTATTACAAGGAAAATATTATATAATATTATGATGACGATATTTCCAACAATGGTTCAGAATACGATTTTCACTACGACACCACCAAATGCCTTTCACTATATTAATATGTATTATA